GCTCATCCTTGGAAGGATGAACATATTGCAAGACTTCAACTTACAAATAAATGGTTTATTATTCAAGCATTAACAACCAGCTGGAGCACTATCAGCCTCAACTGGCCTCTCACTTCTGGAGGGAAAAGTACCAGGCTCTTCCAGTACAAGGCAATATCAAGTACAGCTGTTTGAGATAGGACTAGTCAAGCATCGCATGTATGCAGATGTATTGTTCTTCCTTGCCCAAGCTAGCTCACTCGGGGCTCTTAATTTGCCATGTTTACATACCCCAAGTCTTTGTCATTTTATATGACTTCCAGTTAAACATTTTTTTATCTGCTTTTCTTGTATCGAAGTACTCATTACACTGTATTATGACAGCCTAGTGATTGAAAAACTGCTTCTTGAATTAGGAAAAAAGGGCATGATGAAAGCTAGTTGAAATAATCCATCTTTGGTTAATTCCGCCAGCTACTCACCCACGCCCTCTTCTAGCTCTGTACTTTCTACAATAATCATGGATTACTGCTGATACAGTATTATCTGTAGCATTTTAGATCATTCCTTTGGGACCTCAAATGACTTCATATTCTCTCATTTTAATTATACATACATAGTATAATGTAGGGATTTGGAGATAAGAAGGCCTTGGACTGCTTTATTACATAAGAAAGAACAAACACTGATTTATTTATTACCTAAACAAGAACACTGAAAAATAACATGGTAAAAATCTGTGCCCAAGTGTAAACGGTCTTTGGATCCATCTGTACACACTTCCTTGACTGTTACCATCCTGTTCACGTGCAGCATCTCAGGCTTTCCCAGCTGTAGACCCTCCCAGGGCTCTGACCTGTGATCAAAGAATAGTGAAGAGAAGCACAGAGCAAAAATATCTGTGCTCTCCAGAGAGTGTAGTAGGATGCTGTGTGTACTGTGGATTGAATGAGCTCTGTAGTTACAGCTTCCTTCATGGCAATTTTATATCTTTGCATGCCATGCCAGCAGAATAATCTTGACCATCATAGTGAATTCCGAAATATCCTTTTTTCTGCATGTGGTTCTGTGCATATAGCCCTCTCACCATCAAGCCTATCATGCTCTCCGGAAAAACAACTGGAATGCACTAAAAAGATGAAAAAAAAGAAAATTAGGAGAAAAGGAAATTAGCAGTAATACAGAAAATGGACATATTCAAGGCCTCTACCCCAATCCTGTTTAGTGTCACCCAGAAAACAGGCTGCAGAGCAGATGCTGATTTAACAAGAAAAGAAACCAAAATTATGTTTTACAGGTATGTGTGGCAGGGAACAAGGGAGATGTGAAGACCTGCTTGTCATGTTGCTATTGCCTAATTAAAATCTAGTAGTTATTACTCTCATCAGGGATGCTCAGTGAAACCAGTTAAATGCTGTTTTCTGAAACTGAAGTACTTTGTTCAGACTTTACATCACCTGTAAGTGCTAGACAATCAGATCTAGAAAGCCACAGATGTACCATTCAGAAGAGCCTGATGTCCTCCAGATACTACACATTAAGCAGAAGTCAAACCCTCAGAGATGGTCACAGCATAGAGGAACTTCACTCTTCTACTAAGGTTAAGCACCTTTCTCTGTTTAAAAGATTATACAAAATGTTCAAAAATCCATATTCACTGTTTGTGTTGCAATCTGCTAAGCCTCCAGTGCACCTGAAATAAATTCAGAGGCCAAATCATTTGAGCAAAATAAGTTAAATCCTTGCCACTTTCTCATCACAATTTTTTAAAAAGCATTGGAAAAACTGCCAGATTAGTTTAACTATTAAAAAGTATGTCTTTCATCTTTCTCAAACACGTTTCAAACATGTACGGCCTTACTGCCCCGCTGAGGAAGCAGCATTTCCAAAAATAAGGACAGTCTTCTAAATCCACATTGACACAAGTTAAGGAGATGAATTAACAAGGTTAAGCATTGAAGTGCATTAAGATCTGGACTTTGTTGACACGTCGGGTTTCACATAGTTATTACAGAAACAAGAGAGCTCAAGGGGACAACCCCCATGGCCACTGAAGTTAACTTGTGAATTGTAATCCTAACACCAGCTGACACTAGAGAAAACAGTGATCAAGGACCACACAGAACCTCCTTCTGCAGTGAGAGGCAGAAATTTTGTCCTGAGTCCACAGAATCCCTTATTTAGCAGTAATATCTCAAAGTGCCTTAACATCCAGAGGCAGGCACTGATTTTATTTCAAAAGCACAGCTATGGAAGTGATCGTTAATTAAAACAGGGGAAGATGAAAGTAAGCTGCTGGAATGGTATGACGTGACTAACAATATTCACAGGCTTCCTTAGCAGTGGAACGAAATGCAGTGACAGGCAAGCTCGTGGCTCGATCCTTTGCCCAAGGCACTCCTGGCCTCTGAACACGTGGTGTGCACACATTTTCAGGCTCTTATGGTTTTTTTTTTATATAATACCACAGACAGCAGGATGACTTCAGCTAGGTCATTCTCCATCTTAGTTTCCTAAAAACAGTTCCACCTGTAAAATCACAGACTAACTCAAGGATCACAAGGATCCTACCAAAGGCAGGACAGAAATGAAGCAGCAGGCTGCAAGTGACGTCTAAATCTTGAATAGTATTTCTGCCCATGTTATACTATTTTCACAGAAATCAAACAATTTACCATATACACACACAGCTTCATGTACTGAATAGATAATAATTTATTACCATCAGATATTGCTACGGAAGAGCAGGAAAAACAGCTCTTTTTTACATCTGTACATCTCTTTGATGTCTCTAAGGTACTTCATTAAATATTTATTCCCATAAAGCTTTTACAAAGACTGCATCGACAATAATCCACATGGGGGATTTAGACAGGGTTAATTAATATTCTGAACCAAAGAGTAGTATGACAATGTGACAGGATGAGTCCTACTGTATCTTAATTTCATTATCTAAATCGGGACTACAGACACCCATCAGATTTCCAACAACTGAAGAAGCAAGAGAGCAGCTCTGTGACATGCTTAGGCACAGAGAGTAGCGGAAATGCAAAGCACTATTACTCTGACTCAGCTGACTCTATATACAGCTGTGAAGTACAGATGGCTTTTAAGTCAAAGGGTGACAATATTAATTTATTTTCAAATCATCTTGAGCACACATTGCAAGAAATGTGATTGTCCAGTGAACAGAGCATAGCTAAAAAAAGAAAATCTACCAAAAAGTCAACTAGTTATCAAGGTTTCATGACTGCCCTCTGTCAAATACTAATGGACCTTTTTATTCTTGAATTTCACCAATCATTGCAATTCAAGAAAAAATTTAACTCAAGCCAATTTAGAACATCACCTTGAATCTGACCATCTGCTTTAGACAATGAAGCAAATTCTCAGAGGTGAGTTACATGACTACACTTCATTTGCTCATTTCAGGAGCATTTCCTATACCTTGTTATTGTGTAAGAGACCTAGGCAGAGACAAAGCAAAGCTTCCCAAATAGCAACACTGGGAAGCTATAAAGCTGATCAGATACAAAAAGGTGTCACGTGCACAAGGTGGACCTATGAAAAGAGAAATTATTTCTCCTTTTTTAAGGTCTTAATAGTATTAGTTTTAACAAAAGACCATAAAACATTTTTCATACAGCAACTTGACTTTAAAAATTAATTTTAAATGTTCCACCAAAGCCTAAAACATACTGACAGCACAATACACTTCAGTGAGCTAATTCTAGGTGCTTTGCATTTTGATAAAACTTCTCCTGGGAGAGTATCCAAGTAGTTAAAAGAAAAAAAAAATCAATTAATTAAGGCTCTTGAATGAGGAAGGTCTATACAAAGTTTATACTCTGGCTCATGAAAAGTAAATGTTAATCCAAGGACAAACACTAACAAATAATGAAAATCCCTTGGCTTCCTGGTTTACAACCTGTTCACTCAGCTAAACAGTTTCAGTATTTCACCAAAGATAAACATCTATAACATGAACTGCATGTTCCAGCTGCTCTATACAAACTATAAACTTACCATTCAGCAGAATGCAAGCTGTTCCTGAAACTTTCACTCTAAGACCAGGGATAATGGGATCACTCCCATTCATGAAGTGACTCGTGAGCATAAGAATTTGCAGGGCTTGGAGAAAGCATCAATGAAGAACTCAAGACAACAAGTGCTCTGTGCTTCTGCAACGTGCAACTATTAGTCAGCAGTGTGACCTGCTGACTAACAACGTGGTAAGGCATACATACAGTACTGGATAGCTGGTGCAGAAGTCAAAAGAGCTGTTACTTTCCTACATTTTTTCCTCCAAGTACATTTCTTGAAAAATACCCAGAGCAACAGAATATTCACAATAGCTAGTAGGAAGGACAAAACTCCCATTTGTTAAGTATGGCTGATCTGTTGCACAGGTGTGTTTTCACAGCAAAGGCTGGAAAATTCCAGTGTAAGCAACAAGACTTCTTAATCTCCAGAGAAGCTGTACTTTAAAAACATAAATATATTGCGCCTCTACATCAGTTTGCTAAAGGTCTATCAGTACGTTAAAAATACTATCTATCTTGTTTGTGGTCCTAAAGACACACACAAGAGAAAATTCAGCAAGGCTATTCATGTTCCTGTTGAAAGAGTTAGGGCCATTACTGCATCAAACTTCACAGCTTATTTCTCAGAAAAAAAAAGAAAAACTAAGACGCAAAAGGAACTTACTCAAGACCGCAATCCTTGCCAAGGGAAGAGTCAGGATAACCCTTGCCCAGTCATTTGACCATTGCCTCTCTTTCTGAAAGTCCTACAACAGCATCGCCACTTCTCTGTATGTAATAGAAAAGTCCTCTTAAACTGCTTTTAAAAATCCATAGGTATCGCAAAAAATAAAAAAGCTATCAGTAGTGCAAACATCTGTCCACTCCAGTATTTTAGCATAAATAGTGAGAACCCTACTCTATGCAACAAACTGTCTTATTTTCAACTTGTTAACAATGTACATTAAATGCATGGACAAACAAACAAACAAAAAATACCTGGTGAGCTCTTCTTTAATCTTCAAGGGTTCATGTGGGTAGAATTTCACTCTAAAGCACATGGTATATGGTGGATGAGCTGAAACATTATAAAGAAAAAGCATGAGAACAGTAGCAAACAAACATTGCCTCAGCCACTCTGAAGGAGTGGCCTCCAAGAATCTTACAAAGTAGCCTGTGTGATGGTTAGCTCTGAAACATCAGGCTGGGATTCAAACAAAACCAATAAATATTATATATACATATGAAAAGAATAAAACATATGACAAAGGAGGCCAAAGCACATGCAAAATACAGCTAACCTATGCAAATCAATTTATAAACGGTTTTGCACCTCACAAGACTTATTGTTGGATCCAAGAAGTACAAAACACATCTGGGCTGCTCTTTTTTTTTTTTTTTTGGCAATTGATAAATAGGAAGCAACTGCATCTTGTCACAATGAGATACAAAGGTGTTATGTATATTTGTTATTCCTGATAATGATCATGCCTAGACTACAAAATAGAAGCAACTGTTAATTAAATTTGGTTAATGAAGCTAGAGACAAGAGAATGGTTTCTGTTTCCAGTATTTAATAAGACTATTACCTAGTCCTGAGCTACGGTATCAATACCAGGCCTTAAGTACAATACTTTTACTAAGAAGGAAAGGGAGAGGGAGAGGGAGAGGGAGAGGGAGAGGGAGAGGGAGAGGGAAAGGAGGAAGAGGGAGAGGGAGAGGGAGAGGTCACAGTAACAGGAATTATTTCAATTCTGCAATCAGTGTCTCTCAGTTTTACATTAAAGAACACAGCTTTTATATCCCACTGTTGTATCTTTGATAGCATTCAAAATATTACCTAACCCTAGGCCAGTGATCTTTCAATGATTACAGGAGGGACAGAAAGCAAATCAAAGACTATTATTCTAATGAAAGAGGCACCTTGTGATAATCATGTTAGGATAAAACATGTGTGAAAACCACATAGAAGGCTTAAAAATATCACATCAAGCACAATACGCAGGTAGGCAGAGCCCTCAGAGCTATCTGTAGCCAGGTAGTGTCCATGTTCTAAATTCCAGTTCAAAGTGAGAAGGAAAATACTGCATCTTCAAAAGGTAAATGGTGTGGGGAAAAAAACCACCTATATTATACAGGCAGGCCTGCTGGTAACACGAAGAGAGAGCACAGGGATGGAGCAAGCACCAAGGCAGAACTTCTGTCCAAGCAGCAAGGGCCTCAGCACAGTAGGCCGTGCAAGGGTTCTCTTTACTTGTGTTTACCAGCACAGCCATTTTTAGATGGACAGAAAGAGAAGAAAAGCTGAAGCTTCAGACAAAACAGGAACATGTGATCACTGTGCTCATTTGGGAGTGTCCTATAGACCTGAGTGCAGAATGATAATCCTTTTATTAGAATATTTAACTATGAAATTAACTTTCTGCATACATTTACACTAGTACTCAACATTCATAGACCCTTACTTTTAATAAGTTGGGGTTTGGGGGTTTGGGTTTTTTTTGTTTTTTTAAAGGAAAGCATCCATGCAACTTTAATTCATAGTAAAGTGCAGATCTATAATATTCTGGTTAGTTTTAGAAATCCCTTAGTCTTAATGTATACTCAATGCACACAGCCAATCTAACCTTCCTAAATTTTGAAGAGACGGTGCTTTTACAGGAGGAAAAGAAGGGAAGGCAGAAGAAAAGGGCAAAGAAAATTACAGAGAAGATGGAGGAAAAGAACACGTGAAACAGAGAATTACATCTTAGTTATTGTAATCTATAACAGTAATCACTAAGCTACCAGAACATTTTACGGTACCATGTCCTCAAGCTTACTAGCTCACTGGCTTGTATAAACTGCATGTGGAAATTAGTTCAACAATCATGATATTCTGGAAGCTACTTTGACTGCAGTATTTACCTGTATGGTGTGGTTTTCCAGAAACACATCTCTGGATATCACATAGTTCCATGCGATGTACAAAAGCAACAGAAAATAACAATGCATTACATCTTTTGTTACGGTTGGTATCTTTTGGAGGGTTCAATAGCTTTTGAAGATGAAGGAATATTTTCCCCTTTCAAGACATCATGTTGCACTTTTTTTAAGTATGGTCAGCCTCAACAAAAACTGCTGATTTCATTTTTTTTCACTTGTTTAAATAACTACTCATTTAACATACAAGGAGGAATGTCAGAAGAGATGGGGATGGAGAGATGAAAAATACGATAAAAAGAAAGCAAGGAAACAATAACAAATAGAAACAAACAAGAGGAAATGGAGAAAGGAAATCAAGCCTTAAGTGTTCTCTAGGGATGGTTTGAACATTCAAGCTAACCAAATCTGGACAAGCCCTCTGAAGGCAAGAGAAACACTCAGACTGCTTTCTCTGGGCTTTGGAATCTTAGATGCGACCGCAGCATTGTCTTTCAGTAACTGGAAATAGGCTGCAAATCAGAGGACACTGTTATGTCCTCCATGCCCTGTAATAGCAAACTAGAAGGTAAACTGAACTCAACGTCCCCGGAAGGAAAACAGCCATCCAGAAATACACTAAGGAGTCATGTTGCCTGAACAAAGCAGAAGATAACATAAGTCATCATAAATAGTTCTGTCTCTTCTCAATAGCCTTCTTAAAACTACGCAAGGGAGAAAAAGTTGCACTTCCAGAATATGGTTCCACTTTAAAAATGTGATGGAAGAGCCTCAGCAAAGAGTATCATAATGAGGAAAGGACAGCAAACACTGCACTAAAAAATAGCCCACATTCAGTTAATAGCAAAAGTTATAACAGGAAGTGTTTTCCTTGTGGCAGAAGGACAGTACATGACAGAAGTATACACCAATTCACAGAATATGCAGGCAATTTGGCAAGGCCTACTTTGCAAACCTTTTGCTAGACTCAAGCTTCTGTAACAATATTCCTCCTCAGCAGTGCAGGAAGCAATACAAAACAAGGCTGCTGCAGCTTGCTAAAGAGAGATCCTTTCTCAGCAACACCTGCAAGAATGGCACAATCCCAACCTGCAATTCTAAATGTTAAAAACAATATGATCCCCTCCATCCAATTCATCTCTGAAGATGAGATAAGAAGGTACCCTGCAATTACAGAAGGAAACATGATCCTCTTTTTCTGTTCCTCTTTCCCAGTTAGAAAAACAGCCACAAACAATGAACATTGAAAGGGGAAGGGGGGAACCCTCACAGGTATCCACTTTCCTCTCCATCTTAGTTTTAAAATGGATCACAAGCCTCATGTTCCTCCAAAAATGCATTTGATGATACATAAATATTTAGTAAGGCCTTTGTCTTACAGATTTTACAGCACTGGAGAAATACACAGGAGAAGCTCATATTCGCTCATTCACTATACTCTTGTAGTGGAAGGCAAGACAGGCAGTGAATTGTATCAGCTCAAGAGATGAGATTGTCAAGCCAGACAATTCCTCAATTCCTTGAAAGCAAAATTACTTTCTACCACTTACTCACACATTAAAGTGAAAACATTAACAACAAACCTTCCCAAAACAGAACTCAATTTGCAGAAGAACATTTCTTCAGCACAGAACTAGCCTGAATATAATCAGTTTTATAATAGCTATAAGCCTTTTCTTTCAGAGTGGTTCTTTATCTGTCAGATAAGGAGCAGCTGGTATAGTGAAATGCCCAAGGGTTTGTCAGAATTTCCTAACATCACAGGCTTTGCTTTCTCACCAAAAAAGATTCACAATTACAATAATTTGAAAGGACTTCAGTGTGGAGAATAGTACTGACTGCAAACTCCATTGCAATAGGGCTATTAATTTGCCAGTTTATGTGCTAACAGCACATAAGAGATGAAGGCAAAAGAACAAATAAAACCATTTAAATGATATCAAATGCTGAAACCACTCATGATCTAGACCCTCATGAAGGAACTACATGCACAGTGTGGAAGTTTTCCAGGCAAATGATTGTATGGTTTTAGGGTTTATTTCAGTTGCATATAACTAAGACAAACTATCCAATGTACATGAAACAGTAAGGATCTCCTAGCTAAAAACCAAACCTCTAACACCCTGACCAAAACAGAGAGGGATATGGGAGCTGCACCCCTTGGCACAGATACCAATGCGTAAGAGATTGAGTCTCACATGCATTCATTTTTAAGCAAAGCCCACTGAATCATTTGTCTTCTATGTAGATGAAGGGCTTATAAGGAATAAGCCTAAGAAAAACTACACATTCATATTACCATTTTCTTCATAGAAAGACAATCTGAAAGAACAAGAAAAAAATATTTATGTAAGAGAAAATTTGTTTTCAAAAGCTGGTGAAAAACTTGATTGAAGATGTAGAAGTGTGAACCAAAGAGGGAGAAGGATGAAGATTCTCAGCTGCCACTTTTGGGAAGGTTTCCTGTTTGTTTTTAACAACTTGCTTTTCATCCAGCACAAATACTAGCTTCTGTAATGAGCTGTACTGGCAGTGTTGTTTTTTGATTAAACATGGAGTACAGATGGCTACTGAAAGCCAAAAGCAGATGTTTAAATTGTCTTCATAGCCCTGAGAATGCAACATTGCAGAAAACTTCCTGCATATCTTCTTGACGTTACATATTCTCTGAACTACCCTACCCTACCAAAAGTTAGTGCTTATTTAAAAAAAACAAAAACATTACACTCAAACAGTCTTCATGTTCACTGATGCTGCAGGAGGATCTCTGGGGAACCCTAAGACATATGCTGTTGTTTCCGTATACCTTTTCCCTTACTAAATGAACCAGCTGTTTATCCATACCATTTGCTAAAAATATTTATGACAGACAGAGCATTATTCAGTGTTTTTATTTTACTGATAAGAGATACCTGATCTATCGTAAACCTCAAATTGTGAGGTCTTCCTCATTGCACTCAATTATTTATGGGACAACACAAGGCAAGTTACATGGGACAACACAGTTATAATAACGCTTTAAAGCATGTTATTAAGTCTTCGTGAGGATCATAGGTAAAGAATATACAGCATTCAGATTAGTGCCTGAAGAATCACACCAAACTTCCTGTTTTCACTGTGCATGGATTTATGAACCTCGCATTTGATTAAACTCTTTTTCAGATTTGTACTGAGACACGAACACTGATGACAAGTTTGTTGAGATTTAAGAATCTTTGGAAAGTTTTACACAACCCACCTCTGCATCTGGGTTCTTGTTTCCCCTGGTTCATTCCATCTCCTTTCACATTTTATGACAGCTTTAGAGATTAAGGAAATTAACTTAACAAATTGCAGTGGCCTAACACAGGAGAACATCCTTTTTGCATTACTCTCTCAGATCATCTGAGATGCAAGGCAGCAAGAAAAACATGTACATTTCTAACTCTTCCACATCAGAGCAACAAAATTGATTCTGTTCCACTGTTATCAAGAACAAAACCCATATAGTTGGATATTTCCCACAAAGCAGGTTACAGGATAGCTGTATACTTATTATACAGAATAACCTCTAAAATTAATGAAAAAAGAGAGAGAGAGAAAGTGCATGGGAGAACTCTGTTCTTTATTTAAACATTAGTGGTGATGTGACCAGTAGGATTTACACCAAGACGTTCCTAGAGAGAAAATAAGTAAAAAATGTAAGACGGCCAAATGGAGAGGAACTTTACTGTCAGCACCTGGGAGAGAATAAGTGTACACAAAACCATGCAAAAGAACAGAAAAACTGATTTTAAAAGGTCTTTTAGAACACAAAGATGCAGCTACCTTAGGCAACCTTCCAAAGAGTTTTTCAACACACTATTGGAAGCATGGTGCTCACAGCTACTGATCAGTAGTCACCAACTGGCTTCAACCAATACAAACAAGACTGGAAGTGGTTCAGGACATTTCTCAGAGACTAAAATTTCCCCTCACAGGCAAAATTAGTGGTAAAAATGGCTGAGGCACGGACCCAGACTTTACACATCATATTGACACAAACTTTTCAGTGAAGATGGACAATGCAGAGGCAGATCCTGAGACAAAAAAGATTCTTCTTGTATTGCACCAGTACACATTTAAATATGGTTTTGTATGTGATAAGACAAAATATAAAATATTTTGGAAGATTCCTTCTGTCATGTCCCAGTATTACTAAATATGAACTTAGAGCGGTCTTTGCTAAAGCTAAAGAAATTAAAATGGTAGTGCATCACACAAGATCCTATGCAGACTTCAGAGCTTCAAACATACAACGTTCTGTCCCAGCAAGAGAAACATATAGTTGCCAAATTGTGATTTCTGTATAACCTGACTATATAGAGGGATTATACCTGAATGATTCATGTACTGCTGAGGCTCATGAAATCCCGTACCTACTGAAATTTGTATTAGAACACTACTCCCAGTCATTCATTTCCTGCTCTGAATATTTGTCAATACTGCAATTAATTAATTAAGCTGCATTAATAAATACACTGAAAAACTTGTTACTGTGCTGGGGGAAAATGAAGTTCCCCACAAACGGTAGCTGAGATCAAGCACACAGCATTTTTCAAATTTTGCTGCATGTATGCAAGTGCTCTGTAATCGCATGTAAATCTGAGCGTTCAACTGAATTTAGAACATTTTGAATCATTAGTATTAATACAACCTACTCTTGCATCAGAGGAAATGAAAGTCCATTCTTACAAAACACATCATTTAAATGTTTTCTGAATTGCTTAATAACAAAGAAAGAAAAGGGTACCTCCATCTAATACAGTGAATAGCTTTCTGCCACCATTTCTCCCAGAAGTCATATACATTATGTATGTTCTATTAACCAGTCACTGCATTGCTTCAGTTTTTACACTTTCCACCTGCTACTAATTTCAGTCCTCACTTGTGTCACCTGAGACAGTGATGCTTTTCAAATGAATATTGGTAATTTCTTCTTCTGAGTCTAAACCATTTCATAATAAACTGAATCTTTTTAGGTAAAATATGAATTAACCTTGTGTGCCTTTAGAAATTGTTTAGTGTCCTACATTAATATAGCACATTTTTAGAAAAATAAATCAGATTTCATATCAATCCTGACATGAAATGCTTACAAAAAGGTCCTTGAAACCTGTGGGAGCAAAAGATGCATCTTATGCATAATCTACATGGATTCTACACATGCATATAAAATATATATATCTCCTTGCCTTGTTTCCTTAGAGGGTTATTGTAGCAACTAAAGTCCTTCATCTGTTACAAAAGATAAAGTTAAGTTACACTAGTATTAAACTGAAGTCCCTCATGAAAAGCCAATCACATTAGTTAATTCTACTTCTGTGTCCTAAATCTATGGCTGATAACAAAACACCTTTGTTAGCATTTCATTCTCTTTTTCTCTTGTTGTTGAGACTTTTTCACTGTGATAAATAACCTCATACTAGCTGCATTTTAGTTTGATTTTTTTCTATGCATTCATTTTTGTCTCATTCATTTTTCTCTGAAGATCAGAGTTTTGATTAGGATTCTACCCCAAAAGCCACACAAGTCCTCTGATGAGACCATCACATCACTACATCTATGGAATTTATGGAGTACCATCAATCACATCTAGGCAACACCTATATGCAGATAGAGTTGTTTTGAATAAATCAAAACACTCTCAGTGCATCTGTTGGCAGAGTTCCTGAATATGTTGCTATGCAAAGTACAAGAAGAAGTGTGAGCCCTTATGCTTTGTTGGGTGAAAGCAGTGATACAAATGCAGATTACAGGATACTTCGAGGAAACTCTGTTCTATTTTAGATAACACGCTGGAAGGAAGGAAGAGAGAAAGATAATTTGTAATTACTACAGTCCCTCTTTTCTTCCTTCACTAGCACTGCAGAGGAGCACAACTTAGTTTTAGCTTGACATTCTTGAACTTATTTTTTACCAAATAACACTCCAGCTACCTAAACATTAGATATAAACAGTTCACCCTGAATATGCTGGGTATATGTGTGCATGCTTATATACACATGTATGCCCATGTTGCAATATATACTATTGCTGCATTCATGGAAGAATTTATTGAAGTACTACATGTAGTCCAGACAACACCCAGGATTAACTCTTTTTACCTATTAGACAATCTCTTAAGCCTTGTCACATTTTAAAACAAATACATTACCTCTCACACAAACGACACCTTGTACTTATGCTTAAAACAGAAAACAACTGCACACAAAGCATGTGAGTAAAATTTTCCTTCTTTTCACAAACTGTGAGTAAAATTCTCCTTCATTTCACAAACTAAGTAGATAGATAGACAACAGCTTTCATTAAACAAGACATAACTCCCAATGTCCTAAATCAAGTCTCCAGAACTGCCAAATAAACACTTTCTTCCGCTGATGGATATAAACTTCCGAGTACCAAAGTAGTTCTGTTTCCTGAAGAACTCTTCTCAGTTGGCCCATTTAATGGAAATGATGAGCCAGACTGTAACATTTCAAAAAGATAATTAAAATAACACATTCCTATTTTGAGGAGTCTTTTTTAAATAACGATTGTAATTTTCCACTTGCCTGTGGCAGAAGGTCACCACTTAACCCATAGCACCTGAGTTTGCTGGACTGTGACAATGACCTCAAACCAATGCTCTGCGTTGTCAGGAAGCAGGGGGCAGCAGAAAGAAAGCAAACCAGAAAGACTCAGAAGCAGATTGCCACACTCCATGTTTTATTGCCATCTTACAGTGGCTGATTGCATCTGACTGAAAAAGAGAGCCAGAACATGCAGGTCTTCCCACCAGATCTGCCACCCCACACACATCAGCTGGCCTCTGTCTCTAGCCTTGAGCAGTAATGGAAAGCTCTTGATGCGCAGAGCACTGTGAGACAGTGAAATGAGGGTAGCATGGGGTTTTCAGGAGTCCAGATAGGAAATGAAGGGTCTATTTGCACCAGGAAACAAATGAAGCATATTCTGAATTACTGCATGGAAGCACAGGAAAACCTTTGGGAATTTCAAAAGCAGTTTGAAAACATGAGCTCTTAGCACTTACATTTCATTTGCTTGAAGATGGACTTGTTGGGCTCAAGCCAGTGCTGGAAAGGCAAAGCAGAGAGCAGAGGTTAATAGAGATCACAGTGGACAACAACATCCTTGTAGATGTATATGGTACCAAAAATAGGAAGTAGGATTTTTGTTTCACTGAGACATATGTAAACTGCAAAAAGCACCTCCATACTGTTACCATATTGGAACTGCACCATATAAGCATGCTTGATGTTACCATTGTTTAGAAGATTTAGTAGAGACAAATTTAAAGGAGACAGGCTCTGGTGATTAGTTTGCAGCAGACATTTCAGTCTTACACTTCCAGCCATTTTTTTCCTAGAAGAATGATCATATTGGACAGTAGGACAGACTATTCAGAAATGTTAACATCATCTGTTCCTTAATGCTGTCTTCTACAGTTCTTATAACTAAAGCATGTGTAAATACTGTATTCTCAGTCAGCACCCTCAGAATACAAGCTATTGTTCTTTTCTATCAAGAACTAAAAATCTGAAGGGAAAAAGAGTGTACTTTTCCATGAAATGTTTACGCTGCGGACAGACAGAGGTATGGTTGCCTACCAGTTGGTGTATAACTTTCCAGGGAAAGACTGCAATGGCACGAAAACTTTCATTTTTTTATTCTCCTGGAAAATAAGCTCAGATGCTTCTGTGACGAAAAGCTAAGCTCACATTTTAGTTAAGAGCCTTAGCGCATCCCCTGCTAACACTAGCTGAACTGTTCAGGAGGATGTTTTGATTGACAAAAGAACATGCTGATATTCAAGTGCCTCTTCTGACCACAGCCAACAGCATTTGTACTAGGAATTTTCCTGTAAGCAAAAAATCTCCACACTAAAATGAGATTTGTGCTGCAGAAGCAGCTGGTCAAAAAGCATAGTATTCAGCTTTAATAAGCATAATCAACACTGGAAGGCCTTGCACTAAGGGGTTTTATTTTTAACCCTTTTCAGTCTAGCTCTAAAACCTACTGCAAAAAGAAAACCTAGCATTTTTTATACCGTATGTAATACTTAAAATATCCTACATCAGCTACTATTTTTCCGGATAACTCACAGTAATTCTACTACACAGAAAGGCCAGGGGAAGATATTCTGCAGGAATTGTTAATAGGTGAGAGAAAATTATTATTTTAAAAATCATGACATCTTAAGAATTCAGTCAAAATCAGGGGTAACTGTAAATTAGTTTTCTGGAACAGAACTTCTGACAAGACTAGTACCTTGGAAAAAACATTTGCAAATATCTGCAGCTTATATGCTATGGCTCCTGCATATAGTTTACAGCAATATTGGAGATAAGCACTACTACGTATTTCTGTTTGAAGCTCACTTACCACTGAGAGACTGATATGGAACCCTGGTACCCAAAAAACAAACCAACGAAAAAAACAACAACCCCAGTCTTCAACCAAGAACAACAACAACAACAACAAACAACGACACACCATTTCTTCACCTTTTCTCTCTCCTCAGTATCTCTCTTTTTGGAGCAGAAGAAGAAAGAAACAGAATTGAGAAAGCAGACTGTTTCACCAACTTACCAGAAATATCTAGCTCATTTCATTCTTTTTTAGATCACACAGGTACATTATTTATACATTTTGCTCTGAATAATGGGGGGTGAGGGTTGTTCATAAAAAGGTAAGGCAATTTCAGAAATTTGATAGAGTCTGCAGTACTTTAAAGATACATAATCCAGAATGAATTCACAGATAGGAAAGCAGTCAAGACACACAGATATGCAAGTTTACTTTCCTTAGCCTTTTCACATGCCCACCTCACCTCCACCAGGATCTAGCAGTCCTAGCTGAAGATTGAGACAGCAAAGAGGAACTTGGACAGTGAGCCGTGCTGTACTGTTCCCAGGGAACTGAGAGTTAAGAGGTATCTCACTATGTTCATCTAGCAGGAGCACAAAACAATTTGTTTGATATTTCTTTTTGAAAGGCCAGGCTAAAATATTAGCACAGACCAGGTCAGCATTTACAGCTGTTTGAAAAAGTCAATTACCTATTCTAACAAAAAGTCAGAGGTAAAAAAAGGCAATTTGCAAATATGAAACCCTCATAATTCACCATATGAATAATGAAAAAGGGGAAACATGGATGAAATTCCTCATGCAGTGCACCAAAACCCCAGAACGCAGATTTAGCTAACATGTCCAAAAGCAAACATGTTTCACTAAGACCTGACTTTAATGGGTTAAAAATGGATTGAAAAGACACTGAGCAATTAAGCAGTCTAGACTTTCACTAGGAGGTCAAGGAACTGACAGGCAGTTTTTAGAAGCTCAGATTTCTGGGGTGACCTTCCGTTGGTGGAAGATTGCAAATGTGTAGGCAATTCAGCTGAATCTTCCAGAAAACTGAGACGTTACTTTATAATTTGTGGAGATTTTCAAAGACATAGCAATTAGCTTAATGCTCTCTGAGTGTCAGGGGAAGATAAACACCTAGTCATTGCTAGTACTTCTGAAAATAGCCACCCCTATATTTGTTTGCATATTTCAATTTGAGTTTTCGGAAAGATTTTCCCCTGAGTACTTATCTTCCAGCCTTACAGCATTGACTATTAATAATTAATAACTGTGCCTCATCTCTACTACAGAGTATTCATGCTATATTTATTCCAAGATTAATTAGCTGTTATAGCTAGGACCAGATTAAGGTTCCTATAAATTAATCGAAGGGTTTCTGCAGGAATTTTCACTTGAAAAGCATCTGGCTTTTCAAAATGCTTTTTCTATGTATCAATCTTTTTTTAACAATTTTGCTGAAAAAGAAAAAAAATCCTCACATGAAAGGAAAACATAACATTTCAAGTTAGCTTGTCAGGCCAAATTTTAAAAGCATTTTAAATCATCAACTGCAAAAAATTTTCATTACTACTGTATGCCACACTGCCTTGCGGGAACAGACCATAGGTGTTTCCAATTCTTTCTTGTAAGGCTAACACCTCATAAGACAAACAAAACAACTCAGAGGTAAACTTGGAAACAGAGACAAGAATCTTTAATTTCTCTCCTTGCAGTAAAATGTGCAAACCAGGGGGAGGGAAAAAACCCAACAATCTTATGCAATTTCATTTTTGCCTCAGGTACTTCACACTGTTGTCCATAAAGGCTGCTTTAACTGGATGAGAGCCTACACCCTCAAACCAGCTTGGCTTTATATTTGATAGTACTTAAGGATCATCAGAAATCATTCCTGCAGAGGATGAGCCTCCCATTTCTTTGACAGCACGTTAGCAACATGGTTGTTGCCCAATGGAGAAGAAAAGACTTCGATCCTAATCCAGTTAACACCTATTACCAAGGATCCTGTGGGGAGATTCATGTTCAGCACTGCCAATTTCTTATCTCTTCTGTTGAAAAAGGTTTGGGTAGCAGTTAGGTATCTGGATGATCAGGCAGACATCCTCACAGAAGCAGAAGGCAAAGATACTTAAAGATCTTGAAGGTCGGTCATGGGATAGCTACTGAGTCTTGGTGCTTCAAGTGCCAGTGGTGAGTAAGCAAACTATTATGGATATCACTTTTGGTCCTGGGATGCTAAAACATGCTGAGAATTGCCTTCTGACTAAGGTTTCATTGCGACTACATGCTGTGTTTCAGACTAGGGCAATTTTTACTTTTTAAATACAGCCCTCACCTCTGATCAGCCTTTAAGTGGCACTGAGTAGTCATTAGCGAGGCCAGGTGTGTTCTTGCTTACCCACAAATGCTGAGCAGCTGATACACTACCAGCTTCCACAGCAAAAGCTCAAGATGAGCAAGGACACCACGCAAGGGTAAAAGCACCATTCTAGAAAGTCAATTTAAATCCACAAACACTGATGTGCTTTTAGTAAAGACATTTCAGCCAACAACCTGTTTCGAATGAAGTCATTCACTGAGAAGCTCAGACAGGACTGAGCTTGGTCTCACTATAGCACAGGGTTAAGGGTTTTAGAATAAGAAATGGGGAGGAAGGAGGACATAATGGCCCATATGTATTATTACAGCCCTTGTCAGGGGTCAGGTGTCATTAAAATCCCCACACTGTTCTTCCTCTACATTGCAGCAGCCTCTCTAGAGTGCAAAGATGTGTGCTCCAGTCTCCTCTTCCTACGGATTCCTGTCTAAGACTGGCATAAATCAAAGCCCACCTCCTAAAAAACTGCCAAACCCAAAGCAGGTGCCTGGGACCTGGCCAACCAGAAGTCCAATGAATTCAGTGAAAAGTCTCTCCCCTCCTCCAACACAAGAGGCTTTTGATTTAGTCCCAATCTTTGCAAGAGGAGCAGTAATGAAGGGGCAATCAAAAGTGGCCAAATGCTGTGAATATTTAAGTCCCTCTCAGCAAGCAATACTCAGTCAAGTGCTCAGATATGCATACAGTAAAAGAGAATCAGAGGAACCTGCAGATGTCAGAAGAATATTCTAGCCAGGCAAGGACTTGATTTGAAGACTTTGTTTAATGGACAGAGAGAGCAGGAGAATGGAGACATGCACTGAAACACTGCTAGAAAAGTAATAAAATTAATTTTATTTAAACCTCAATCCTATATTAATCTTGAAAATTAATACCTAATCTTTTCCTTGAATGAAAAGCAAAATCAAAATCAATTTGCTTTAGCCTCAAGGCAGTGACTTGCACCAGATCACCACCTGGCAAAAGTCAGACTAAAAAAAATAGTAACAGTATCCAAAGCTAATGGAAACTTAAACAGGGGAATTAATTGAGCACCCACTCTATACCAGCACAAGGGATGCCAAATGACCCAGAGCACCCTGCATGTCTCCTTCTTCATGCTCTGAGGCTGACACCATTTTTTCATGCCTTCAAGAACCTCTATACCAAGAATATAAATATTGTTCTATTGTAGCAAAGGAGCTGTTCCTCTGTACTCTTCCGAAAATCAGGGCATCGGCCCTGTTTAGTGGTATGTTAAGCAGGAAGAAACAACACACATCACTATCACAAAAATTAATCTGTTCCAGAAATAGTACCATACACTGGAACAGAATCACCGTTTTTATGATTC